CCGTGAAAAACTTTCACGGGGCTGTACGTATTACCCGCGGGTAAGGGAAGGCTGAATTCGAATGGGGAAGGTTAAGAGTGGGCAGGGGTCATTACCCTAAAATTTCAGCCTCTTAGACTTCGTGGTTCCCGAGATATTAACTTACCCATGAATAACTTTCACGGGGCCGTACGTGTTACCCACGGGTAAGGGAATGTTGATTTTGAATGGGCAAGGTTGAGCACGGGCAGTGAGTCATTACCCTAAATTTCCAGTCTCCTAGACTCCGTAGTTCCCGAGATATTAACTTACCCGTAAAAAACTTTCACAGGGTCGTACGCGTTACCCGCGGGTAGGGGTGAATTTAAATTTGCGGGGTCACACGTGGGTGGGGGACGTTCCCCTAAATTTTCAGCTTCCTAGCTCTTAATTTAAATTTGCGGAGTCACACGTGGGTGGGGAACGTTACCCTAAATTTTCAGCTTCCTAGCTTTGTGAAATTTGCGGGGTCACACGTGCAGGGCCGTACGCGTTACCCGCGGGTACGGGGAAGCTGAATTTAAATTTGCGGGGTCACACGTGGTTAAAAAACTTTCACAGGGCCGTACGCGTTACCCGCGGGTACGGGGAAGATGAATTTAAATTTGCGGAGTCACACGTGGGTCGTGTTACCCGTGGGTACCGGGAAGCTGAATTTAAATTTGAAGGGTCACACGTGAGTGGGGAACGTCTTACCCGCGGGTACGGGGAAGCTGAATTTAAATTTGCGGGGTCACACATGGGTGGGGAACGTCCGGCCGTACACGTTACCCGTGGGTACGGGGAAGCTGAATTTAAATTTGTGGGGTCACACGTGGGTGGGAAACGTTACCCTATTCAGCGCTTTGCTTTTGTGGTTCCCGAGTTGAAAGTTGCGGACAAGTTGCTGCGGACACACACACACAAACACACACAGACAACCCCGTAACAATATGCGTTTTGTACCGCTGTTACACAGCACAAAGCGCATAAAAATGGTTGCTGTATTGGATCGCGCCACAGTCCAAACCTGTTTAGACGAGCAGCCCAGGGCCTAAGAATTTGTGTAGTTGGGTCAGCAGATGGGGGCTGTAATCCATGTGTTCATTAAGTTTTTCCTCTTTTAAATTTGGTGATTGTGTTTCAGCCTGATAGTAATGGAAAATTTCAAGATGAATTTATTGGAGCACGTTATCAGAAAACAGCTGCAGGCGACACAATTAGTTGGTTTTCCTTTTGTTGATAGTTAACTGGATGCTAATTTTATAATTTTTTATTCGCTCACGAAGGGTATTTGAAAAATCGGCACAGGGGTCAGTGAGGTTCCGATCCCACCTTAGTGATATTACTAGAATGGTTCTACGTAAGTAAACTCTGGCACTGGTGCTGTTAAGATTAAAGCAAAATGCTTTTTACTGGTCTAAGTGATCTCCTTTCGTTTGCAAATAAAATACTTAGTGTACTTAGAATACAAGTGAATTAACCGTGTAGAGTCTGCAGCCTGGATCCGAAGGGCCCAGGCTGCACTCGGCGTACGGGAGCACCCTAGTAGCATCACCGGCAGGGGT